AATTGATTTTATACCCCTAAAGTAAAACATTGTTTTGCTTTTTTTAAATTTTAAAAAATTAAAAAAAAATTTTTTTAACTTAAATTTTAAACACATTTTTAAACATTTTTTACAACAGGCTTGCCACGGGTCAAGTAGGGAAAAAGAGAAAGTAGAATTAGTCAGGGAAATCAGGGAAAAGTCAGGGATTTTTTTATTGAAAATAATGGAAAAAATTAAATGTTTAGAATTAACAAGAAAATTCTGAATTTTTTTCAACTTTTTGTTTGACTCATAAATTATGAACTTGCTCCGAATTCTAAAAAACGCCTTCAATTTTTTCAATTTCTGACAATAATTTATTTTAAATAACTTAATTCTATTGAAGAACTGCCATAAAGTTATTGCCTATAAATCATTTAATGAAGTATTTTTTTGAAACATTTTAATTTCAATTCTGTTGAAATTAGTTTCAATTTCAAAAATTTTAATGCGATTCATTAAAAGAATACAATTATCTTTAAATATTAAAATAATTTTAATAGAGAATTATTCTTTCCAGAAATTCAATATTATTTTCACAAATTTAACAAAAAATTTCTTCAACATTTCCATTATCTTTATAAGTATAGAAAAATTCTTCTCCAAAATTCAATTATATTCAGAAATTTTAATAAAATTCATTGCAAAATTTAATTATTTTCATAAATAGTAGTATTTATCACAAGAATTGAATTATTTTCAAAAGTAATAAAATTCAATTATTTTCAAATTTTTTTTTTAAATTCTTGTCAACATTACAATTATCTTTATAAAAAGCATAATTATTATCGCACAAACGACAATATTTATCATAAGAATTCAATTATTTTCAAAATTAATAAAATTCTTTGCAAAAATTCAATTATTTTCAAAAAATGTAAACAAAATTTCAATTATCTTTATAAATAAAACACAAAATTCTTCGACAAAATTCAATTATTTTCAGAAATTTTTAAAAAATTTATTGCAAAATTCAATTATTTCCAAATATAATACTATTCATCACAAGAATTCAATTATTTTCAAAAATTTTAATAAAATTCATGGCAAAATTTCAATTATTTTCAAAATTTTTTTTCAATTCAATGATTTTGAATATTCTACTATTGTAATAAAATTTCCCAAAAAAATTCAATTTTTTAAGAAAAATTTTGATAATGTTCTTATTACTAACATTCAATTGTTTAAAAAAAAATTGCACAGAAATTCTATTATTTAAAATACAATTTCCATTAATTTTTTCGAAAAAATTAAATGTTTTAAAATTCGGCATTAAATTTTTCGAAGTAATTCAATTACTGTTTTCATAAATTTAAAAATTCTTTTCGGGCTTTTAATTATTTTCATATAAATAAATAAAATCATTCGGAGGAAGTTAATTATTTTCATAAATATAACAACATTATTCAGAAGAATTCAATTATTTTCAAAAAGTTTAATAAAATTGATTGCAAAATTTCAATTATTTTCCAAAAGTTTTCTTAAATCAATAATAATTTGTAAATATTTAATTTTAACAAAATTTCCCAAATGAATTCAATTATTTAAAAACAGTTTTGACAAAGTTCTACACGAATATTCAATTGTTTTCTAAAATAATGAAAATTGCAAAGAATTTCATGATTAAAAATAGAATTTGCATAAATTTTTTCGAAAAAACCAGTTGTTTAAAACTTTTTTATAAAATTCTGAACAATAATTCAATTATTTTTATAAATAATAAAACTTATAACAGAATTTCAATTATTTTTAATACAAATATAGTTCAAATTACTCGAAAAATGTAATTATTCTTAAAAATGTTACTAAAATTCGTCAAGAGTTCAATTATTTAAAATTTGTTGATAAAATTATGTATATAAGAATTCAATTTTAAGAAACATTCAATTATTTAATAAATTATCTATATTTGTATTTAATGATAGATCGTCCAACGTCCTTCCGGCAGGACGAAAAAGACTCAGGTGAGTCCCTCCGAAATCACTAAAGAAAACTTACATGGATTCAGATAAATAAAAAATGAAATATATCATTAGAAAGGTAACGAATCAAGCTTTCAGCGCATATAAATATCGAGCTTGTAAGTTCAAAACTAAGGGCTGGGTAGTTTGAAGAAGTTACATGTTCCAAAAATTCACATAATTTTTAGTCGCAGAATGACGAAGCCCGGTCCTGCCGGCAGGACGCTTTTCGCTTTATTTAAGAGGCTACCTAGCCCAGGTTTATAAATTTAAAGACTCGATATTTACATCATTTGAAAGCTTGTTTCATTACCTTTCCAACGATATATTTAGTTTTATATTTATCTGCTTCCATATTAATTTTATAGAGCAATTTCGAAGGGACTCGCGCCTGAGTATTACTCAGATATACTGAACAATATGAAAAATGATTTTTTTTTTAATTGAACAATTAGGTTTCATTCTTTGAACGTTTCTGAAGAGAAAGAGACTTGTCCGGTCAAAAAATATTGATTTTTAGGGATTTTACATTAAATTTACGAAAAAATGTTTTTTTCACTGTTTAAAAACATAGCAAGTTTGAAGGCTTTGAAAAATGGTATAAATTATTATTTTAAAAAGTCAAAAATATGTATTTTTTCGTCTTTTCGTCTACTTTAACCCCAAAGAGTGCCAGAAAAGAAAAGTTGAATTCCCTTTTTTTAAAAGCCTTTTTTTCGGAACGTCCTTCCGGCAGGATGGGCGCTTGGACGATTTATCATTAAATAATTGAATTCTCGTAGAATTTTCTAATAAAAATTGATTTAAAAATTAATTGCAGTTAAAGTTTTAGATAATAATTGAATTTTGTAGAAGTTACTAATTATTGCAATTTTTTTAAATAATTAAATTTTGTAAAAGTTTCAAATAAAAATCTTTGAAAAATTTTTTTTTTTTTAAATTTTTCATACTTTTAAATAAAAATTCTATGGAACTAATTTTTTTCAAAAAGCTTGATCGAAATTTTTTTTTATTTAATCCTTTCGTGCCCCCGGAAAACCCATCGATTGGATTTTGTTGAAACTATTGTTACGCAAAAGTTTTTTGGATCGCTGATTACGAATCTAAAGTCAGATTTTCAAAATTTTCAAAATTTAAAATGGCGGATCCAATATGTCGGATATTTTTTTTCAAAATTGATCAAATTTGCATTAAAACTTGTTACTCGGGGGTTTTCGGGGTCGCTGATAACGAATCTAAAGTCATATTTAAAAAATTTCAAATAGCGACCCCGAAAACTCCCGAATAACAAATTTCAAGCAAATTTGAGTAGATTTGAAAAAAATGTCTACCACTTTGAATTAAAAATTTTTTTTTTTAAATCTGACTTTAGATTCGTAATCAGCGACCCCGAAAACCTCCTGAGTAAGAAGTTTTAAGCGAATTTGAGAAAAATTGTAAAAATTAGCTTTCGCTTTTTTTTAATAAATATAATTTTACCCATTGTTTATAATAATTATAATTGTACTATGTAATTTTTTATATTTTTAGGTGAAAATTGTAGAAAATAACAATTGAAGTGAAATGATGAAAATAATGTTAAAGAAGTTACAGTAACAATATTCTTATATTATAATATAAAAAATGATTTTATTACTCGGGGATTAGGTTTAGGGAAGAAGTCAAAATTTTGTCTGGAAATCAGGGAAAAGCAAAATTAAATTTTTCTGTCAATCCTGAACAAGAAAATATTTTCATCCCTGGCGGAATAGAATTCCTTGGATTATTTCTTTTTTTTCATCTCCACTTGCTGAAAAATTGCGAAATAATTCTCTCTCCCTCTTTCTCAACAGGTGGTAAAAGAAAATCATTTTGTCTAGCTGTTATTTCTCTGCCCAAGAAATATAATGTTTATTGCAAGCATTAAAAAGTAGAACAGTGTATTAGCAGATACAAAGCACGCTAATCGCGCAACGACCTCTTTCCTCGGGATCTTGTCGATGACCTCGACAAGATGTTCGCCATGGGTTTCGCAGTCTCTCTCTTTCTCTCTCCTTCTCTCTTTCAAGTTCTCTCCAGCTGCGACTATGACGCTATAAATCCATCAAAAGCCTTGCAGGAAACCTTTAACTCATCTACACCTCGTTACAACACGCGACTATTCAGCTAATTACTGTTAACTTACACGTGCTGACGTTCCAAACGAGACTAAAACGCTTCTCATAATAAATACCAAAGCTGAATCAATAGACCACAACCTTTCTTTCAACGCACTCATCATCATCATTATCATCATCAGCCATGATTTATGCGAATCAACTTCCAATGGGGAGCAAATTAGATTTTCCAAGAAATATCGAAACAATAAATTAATAAATCATTTTGCTCTTGAAAGGGGATATAAATCAAGGATGTATTTAATTATCGCTTTTATTTTCTTTTCTTTTTTTGATGAAATTCTAAATTTAATATTGCTATCGTTAATGAACTTTCAATGGATTGGAAATAATTTATTACTTGCAGATTCATTGTTACTGATAAATATTTCGCTTTGGCATTGTGTAAGAGAGGAAAGATGTAATAGGCGTCTCGTTTATGACGGATGACGTGTAAGTGGAAAAGTTCCTTTCGAGAAAATAATACATCAATTGTGGAAGTGCATTTACAAGTCGAGAATGAGATTGCAATCTTTACCTGGTGAAACTACTCTGGTTTGTGTGCCTTTGCCGTTGTGTATACACACCCGTTGACCTTTGACTTCGTATACCTTCCATCTGTTTCTCTGCTTCTAACTCTAGTTCCTGCTCCTCCGGCGGTAGTGCCCGTTCCATTCCTATCGAGGTCAAAGATGTTACACGTCAACTCAGGCATAATGTATAATATAAAGTTCTCATTCCACTCAACAGTTACTCATATATGTGAATTAGAAACATTATTCAAGTCTGTCAAGAACGAAAAAATTATAATCAGATTTCAAATTTTCAATTCTTTTCCCAAAAAAAAAAATTATCTAAAAGAAAACTTTTTTTTTGTTTGCAGGACGTGGAGCACCACGTGTGACCGCGGCATTTGTTGGCGATGGAGAAGGTCGGTTGATCACCACTCCAATTCACAAGGAGAGTATCACCTCCCGCAGTAAGGAAGATTTAGCACAGGAGGCAGCTCTCGTGCTCCAACAGGCCGACAGTGTGCATTGCGTGGCACACGATAATCGTCGCCTGCCGGGCAGGTTCAGCACACTTCCGGTTCGTCGAAAAGAAAAACACTCCGAACATCCGCCACTTGAATCACGACGTAAAAGTGAGGATCTCGTTATCGGAACACCAAAGGCAAAGAAAAAGCCACTCGAACGCAGTCACAGCGATGCGAGTGCGAAGAAATTCAAAAATCCAATCGCCAAACTCTTCTCCCCGAAATTAGAGAGAAAAACCCCCAAACCAGTCAGTAGGAGTTCGAGTGACGCGGGTAGTATTAAATCGCACCGGAAGCGAAGTGAAAGTGAAAGTGACGGTTCACATTTACAAGCGAGGGTGAAGAAGCAACTCTCGCCGATAATTGAAGCATCGCCATATTATGATCAACAGCAACAACCTTTCCACTTTGGTACGAAATCAAATTCGCCCGACAAAGTGAACAAAGTAGACAAAGTAAACAAAGTAGACAAACCTCCAAAATCCCCAACGGAGAAAATAATTCCCATTTCCGTTGAAGAAAAAGAAAATATCGACGAGGTCGATCAGGTACATACCAAATACAATCAAGAGTCAACAATTCACAAAATGATACACCGATTGTCGAATGACCGTTCACCACCCCCTCAACTGACAAGAACGATGGTTTCCCCAAGTCCGGGTTTTGGCCACAACAACAATCGTCCCTTCTCCTACACCAGACCCAATGAGTCTAGTCCTCCGCCACTTCAAAACGGTGTGATTTACGCCCAAGTGCAACTGGATAAGAAGAAAGCTCAACGCAGTCATTCGGACAGTGACGAAGGTCTCGGTCTCGATCGAAAGGATTCCTCCCGTGAAAATAGTCCCGCCGAGAAGGAATACCGACGAGCGGACTATTACATCTCCGATTTGCGTCGTAACAACGAACTAAACGATTTCAAATCCCGCTATGAAGAGGATCGCACCAAAACCACCCATTTCGGTGACTTTCGCACCAATGAACCAAAAAGGACCCAACAACACGAATTCGATGAAATCGATCGTAATTTATTCGACAAGGGAGAAAAGTACACATCCACGATATTTGTCGACACTTCAAATCGTGGAAGAGCCGATGGAATGGACGCGAGACGCAGGGATAGCAATGAGTTCACAAGATCCAAGACTTCCGAGCTAAGTGCAAGGCGTGACCTTCTGGAATCGAGAATAAAATCCCGACTCCTAGCCGACGAGATGTTCGCCACAAAGAACAACATCAATGTTCCCAAGAAGACCGAACATGAAATCATCGATAAACCGATCGTTCCCTCACCTGTGACCCCGAATCGGGTCGCTTCACCGAAGCGCTACGCTGATACCTACATCACCGAGACGCGAACGAGTAGCAATGGAGAGAAATATATTTTCGAAAAGGAGATTCATGAGGACAATGGCAAAGTCTATGGGTATGAGAAAAAAATAAATAAAGTCACTGATGCATTCATAGATCCGAAGCCTAGGGAGGGTTATACTGTCGAGACAAGAACTGATAAGTACGGCGACAAGTATGTTGTCGAAACAATGACACACGAGGGATTCGTGCCTGAATTCAAACCCTTTTTGAGCGATCGATCGAGAAATGCTCCCAACTATCAGAATGAGGATACCTCACCGATTGTTGTGAATAAATTCAGTGAGAGGAAATTCTCGAAAAGTGAGGATGTATTGAATCGACATCCAAAACCACTGAGGGAGTATGTTCCGAAATCGAAACGTACTTTCGAGGCGATCAAAGGACGGAGTAAGTCGACCCAACGATTAGATGAGATCGGGGAGAATAATAGGGTGAAATCCCTGAGGAACGAGTACATGACTAGATCGCACGAAAATTTGAGTAGTGATTACACAAACAGGGATCGTTCGGCCTATAGAACGCATTTCGTCAAACGGAATCTAGACGATCTTCGCGAAGGTCCGAACGACGATTACGATACAGACATCTCTCAGGTGACTAACAGTCAACTCGAGTCAAAATACTATAAGGAGACACGCACAACGCAGAGGTATCTAAAGAAACAGGCTCTACATGACGATTACGATAGTTCGCCCCCACGGATAAGAGTCGATCGTGTCGGATACAATTCCAGTCGATATGATTCCGATACGACGGCGCGCGATTCAATCAGGTGTGAAACTCGATTCACTGATTCGTCCCGTGGGATCAGAAAGGATTATAGAAGCGTTGAGGATGATCCAAAGAAGCCACTGCGGAGGTCTCGGAATCGACTCGACTATCTTGATGACTCGGATGCGAGAGAAAGTTCACGAGGCAAGATATCCAAGGGCAGATTGGAGACGTTTGATGAACCGCCATCACGACCGCCGCGAATTCATCACGAGAGTAAAACGCGACATATGCGTCATGAGACGAGGGGTCACGTTGAACGTCGACATCGTGAGACGCGGCTCAGTGATCCCGATCGTAAGGATCGTCTAGCCGATTCGGGAATTGAGAATGATTATCGTCGTGATTCACATGAAGCGGATAGACGTGAACAACTCGAGTCTGAGGACGAGGGGTTTGCAACTTTGCAATTCATCAAGCACGAAAGACGACACACTGATAGAAATATGAATTTGACACCTGCGGAGAAGCGGAAATATGATAAGTACGTGATCGAGAAATCGATTGTCACAACGAAACCACCATCGGGCGCGGACAAGAAATACGAGAAGAAGACAGTGAAAAAAAGTGGCACTATGAGTAAAGTGAAACAACTGTTCAGCAAGAAGGAGAAGAAAGCGAAGGAGGAGCAGAATAAAAAGAATTATCGGATCGGTAGCAGTGGAGCACTCACTGACGACGAAGTGACGATAAGGTACAGGGAATATCGAGGGGATCAACTTCGAAATGCGAGGAGTGTTCGTGACCTTGGAAGCAACTTCAATCAGGTAGGATAGAAATATTCTCAACTCAATTACTAATTTTAATGGACTGAGATTTTATTTTCAACCGACTGTTCAACCCCTAACATTTTTTTCACTTCTTCATCATATTTATTCTTTTTTTCCAGTCTTCTGAATTTGCCAAACAAAGTTTCTTCGTTTTTTGTATTCCTTATTCTTTAATGCACCTTATCCAGGTAAAAATGATTCGTACGAAATTCGTACGGTTTTCGTGCGAATTTCGTTCAGAAATCCGTCCAGATTCGTACAGAATTCCTATCGAATTCGTATGAAATTACTAGCGAAATTCGTGTGGCGTTTTGAAACGTTTTTTCGCACGAATATTCGTGCGAATAATACCCGAATTTTTTTAAATGGATTATCAAGAAATATTTTCGTTCGGAAATCCGTATGGAAATTCGCAGGGAATAATTTTTGACAATTTCTTCAAAAATTTTCGGTCAAATTTCCATACGAAATTCGAGCGAATTACGAACGAATTTATTTTGAAAATTTTTTATAAAATTCTGCTCGGAAATTCGAATGAAATTCCGCACGAAATATCAGCCAAAAATTTCTTAAAAAATTTTCGGCCAAATTTCCATATGAAATTCGTACGAAATTCGAGCGAATAACGAACGAATTTATTTTGAAAAATTTTTATAAAATTCTGCTCGGAAATTCGTACGGAATTCCGCACGAAATGTCACCTAAAAATTCCCTCAAAAATTTTCATCGAAATTTCCATACGAAATTCTTACGAAATTCGAGCGAATAACGAACGAATTTATTTTGGAAAATTTTTATAAAATTCTGCTCGGAAATTCGTACGGAATTCCGCACGAAATGTCAGCCAAAAATTTTTTCAAAAATTTTCAACGAATTTTCCAAAATAAATTCGTACAAAATTCGAGCGAATTACAAACGAATTTATTTTGGAAATGTGGCCGAAAATTTTTGAAGAAATTTTTGGCTGACATTTCGTGCGTAATTCCATAATTAAAAATTCAAATTTTTATCAGTTGTAGCTGAAATTGTTTACTTGGAGGTTTTTTGGGACGTTTTATTACAAACCCAAGGTCAGTTTTTTAAAATTAAAAATGGTGGATCCAATATGGCGGAATAAATATCTTAAAAGTTATTTAATTTCAACAAAAATCCTCTCCTGAGTTTTTGAGGTTAGGCATTAAAATTCCTAAGTTTGATTTTCACAATTCGAAATGGCGAATCGAATATGGCTCGAAGTCAGTATTTCTAAAAAAATGTCCGTAATTTGAATGAGAAAGGACGAAAAGTTCATAAATTGTACGATATAGTTTGGAGAATTTTAGAGAAATTATAAATGTTTGCAAAAAATCAATGATCTTCAGAAGTAATAATAATTCTTCTCAGAAATTTAATTATGTTAAAAAATTTTTTTAAATTCTTGTCAAAATTTCAATTATCTTTAGAAATAATAAAATTCTTTTTCGAAATTTTCAATTATTTTTTGAAAATTTGAATAAAATTCTTGACAAAATTTCAATTATTTTCAAAAATTTTCCTTAATTCATTAATTTTTAATATCTACTATTTTAATAAGAATTATTTTTAAATATTTTTAAAAATTTTAATAAAATTCTACGCAAACATTTAATTATTTACATAAAATAATAAAAATTTCACAAGAATTCAATTATATAAAATTATTTTTACATCATTTTCTTCACAATAATTCAATTAATTTTATAAATAATAAAATTTTTACATGCATTCAATTATTTTAGAAAATAATAAAATTCTTTTTAGGGATTCTATATTATTTTCATAAAAAATAAAAATCATCGCAGAATGTCAATTATTTTTAGTACAGTTTTAATAAAATTTCTCGAAAAATGTAATTGGTTCTTAAAAATTTTATTAAAATTCGTTAAAAGAATTCAATTATTTAAAAATTTGTTGATAAAATTCTTTATGAGGTTTCAATTTCAAGAAACATTCAATTATTCAATAAATTATTGTTTTTTGAATTTAAATAATTAAATTTTCAAATAAAAATCGATTTAAAAATGAATTTCAGTTAAAATTTTAGATTATAATTGAATATAAAAATTATTATAACGTAAAAATTTTAGAAATTATTTGATTTTGAAAAGGATTTAAATTAAAATCTTTGAAAATCTGAATTTTTCCTATTTTCAACTAACAATTCTGTGGAATTAATTTTTTTCAAAAAACTTAATCGAAATGTTTTAAAAATTTTACAAGTTTTTTTTAAATGGATATTTAATTGAAGAATTTACGAATAATTGAAATTTCACGTAAAATTGAATTGTAAACAAATGAATTTGAAAATTCTCAAAATACTTTATCAAAATTATTAAAAATAATGGTTCATTGAAGAATTTTAGTTAAAAAGACTAAAAAAGAATTTAATTTTGGAGAAGTTACAAATTTTATTGCAAAAATTCAATTATTTTCAAAAGTAATACAATTTTTCGCAGAAATTGAATTATCTTTAAAAATAATATAATTCTCCTTGGGGATTCAATTATTTTCTCAAATAATAAAACTCATCGCTGAATTTCAATTATTTTTAAATACAATTTTAGTCGTTTTTCTCAAAAAATGTTGTTATTCTTAAAAATTTGTTGATTAAATTCTTTATGAGAATTGAATTTCAAGAAATATTTAATTATTCAATAAATTATTTATTGAATTCTGTAGAATTTTGTAAAAAAATTAATTAAAAAAATGAATTTCTGTTAAAATTCTAGATACCTTATAATTGAATATTAAAAGCAATGTAGCGTGAATTTTTTGGAAATAATTGAATTTTGAAATTAATTTTTTTGAAAAAGTTTAATTGAATTTTTTTCTCGATTTTTTTTCATATTATTTAAAGTTATTATTTTCTAATATACTTGTATTTAATTGAAGAATCTATGAATAATTGAAATTTCGTAAAATTGAATAAAAGAAGAAGAATTTCAGTTAAAAATTCTTGAAAATAATAATTGAATTGAAATAATAACTCCAAAATTGAGAATTTTCTTATGAATTTTAAAAAATTTAATTTTTTCCAGTACTTTTAATAAAAATCCCTGACTTTTCCCTGAATTCCCTGTCTCAGAATATATTATTATAGTTATTAAAACTACATTCCAATTCATATTTTATTTTTGTGAAAAAAAAAATTAAATTAAAAATTTTCGCATTCTATTATTATCAAAAAATTTTATTTAATTTAGTCGAAAAACAGAAATTTTCTAAATATATAATAATTTACTTGTATTCCTTGATATCGTTACTGAAATCGATTGTTGAATTCGTGTGTTGGAGATAAAATAAAAGCGGTTCAATAAATCATTCCCGTGGGTGTTAAAGTCAGGGAGCAAAATCAGCGGGAAGTAAATACGAATTTCACTAAAATGTTTCTCTCTCGAAGTAAATTCACATCTGAAGAAAGAAGTTTTACGAGAATTTTGTTATTAATTACGATCTAAAAAGAGTTAATCGGCTTTTTTTTCTCATTTTTCTGATACTTATTTTTTTCCCCCTTAACCGGACATTATGAAAGTCTTATTTTTGCATCTATGGGTGCGGGCGTGTGATATTATTGTTTATGTGTGTGCAGCATTTAACACTGTCGAACGGAAAATGCACTAAAAATTTAAATGCCACTTGACCAATTCGTTGCGAGAGTATATAAACCACCTGTTATTCTGAACTCAGCGTTGTGCAATCAGATAATAGCTAACCGTGAGACTTCACAAGCTTGCCAATGCTTTCATACTTTATTGTTCGCATATTTGGTTGATTCTCAAGTTGTTTCACTTGAAATGTTACAAAGCTTGATTCTTATCTTGATAGGGAGATATTTTTATATTTTCCAGTAATCATTATTATCCTTTTTAGAAATATATATTTGTTGTGTTTGTGTGTGTAGGTATTAAATAGTACATTTATACACACACTGCATGTGCATGGGGGGACATAAGGAAAAAGTTCTCTGGGTAATTGCGGTTACGTAAATCAATATTTTCTTATATCCGTAAAAGCGAAATTTATTTTGATATTTATCTGAATCATTTCAAAGTAAAGTCTTGAAGACAAAGAAAATAGAAATAGGCGATGTTGTTGTTGTTTCTGGTGAAGAGGCAGCAGGCAAAGGATTCGCAATCGCGAGTCAGGCGAGCGTGTCGCACAGTCATTTTTCCACGTTTTGTAACACAGGAAGTTCTTCTTCAAACGATATAAAAGTTCCGTTACAAAATTCCATTTAAGGTCTTTCGTACCTAGAGTGCATATTCAATGAAGAGACCCATGTGACAGCTCTCGCGAAATGCCTCATGGGTCAAATTGTGAACTTGTTTTTATTCTTTTAATTCCATTTTGTTTGCCTTGCATTTCAGGAAAGGGAATTCTTAAATTTAAATAAAATCTGAATCACGTATTTTGTTCCACCAATAGACACGTGACACGGTTTTATTTTTAATGTACAGTTTCGATAAATCTACGTCAAACTGAATATTAGGCAAAAAAAAAAGAATAAAAGTGTTTTAAAAAAAAAAAAAAAGTTAAAAAGATAACAAAGAGCGTTGAAAAGAATACTAACATCGTGGATTTATGCGTCAGTGATTGAGTGCGAAAAAAGAGTTGAGGAGCGTTTGTTTTATTCTCTCTTTATTACTTCTACTCAGTTTTCTACACTCCCCACAAGAGGGTGGATTACGTAAATTATTTCACAATCACTTCCCATTTTTCATTTCTCATATATATAACTTTATTTACATCCAATTTCCTGTTTATTTCTCACAATATTTCATATCCTACTTTTCCTTTCGTTTTCTACATCCTTACTTTTTACTTTTACCATTTCCTCTTCGACTTTCTACTAAGGTTCTACTTTGATTGTATTGTATTTATTAAAATTCAAAAAAAGAATTCTATTATTCAAAAATTTATTGATGAAATTCTTCAAAATTTTAATTATATTTAAAAAATGCAAAATTTATTCTTTTCCA